GCTAAGACAGCCTACGCTCAGGCTACAGCTGCTCAAAGTTCCCCCGACATCTGGTATTACGCAACAAAGGCACCGCTCGCTCCCTTCTACCCACCCCTTTGCTGCAATAAAAGCATAACGGATTATCATCACACCCTATAAAACTTCTACTAATGCCTCACTTTGCCTTTATCGTTTTACGCTGCATGTACATTTCAGTGACAACGTCAGTGCTATGGAGCACTACGACAGGAGACGGGTCTTACTCATGGGCCACAGCTTTGTAAAGCGCTTACAACAGGAGCCATCTTTACCAAACAATTTTGGTATTGATGGTCTCACTACTGATTTTTATTGCTCAGGGGGAGCAACACTCACTAGTTTTTTATACGACCCCAATTTTTGGCCTCGGCTGCCCAACTTCGATGTAGTTTTTTGTCAACTGGGAGAAAATGACGTCAGCCCAGCAGTTACCTCACCAGCATCCATCGTTTCTGCCGTCCTTCGAGCCATCCACATGATCGTCGATTACAATCCTCACATTCAGATTTTTTGGGGTCAGTTGTTTTGCCGCTCTCAGTCTCCTGGTGGTCGAATTCCCACCCTGCTCTACCAGGAAGATTTTAATGATCAGGTTACAGCCATCAATAGCGTACTCCAGCAGAGACTGTCCACACACCCGCATGCCCAATTTTGGAGATGCCCTGGAGCGGTAGATGCCTGGCAGGACATACTTTCTCGGGATGGTGTCCACTTAAATTCTCGAGGCATGGTCAAATTTTGGAGAGCCATCCGAGGGGCAATACTTTATTCTCGGCCTACACCCCAGCAGACACGTAAGTTCACAGCTATGAGGCACGTTTTCATGATTATACACTCATTCAGTTTTGGCCAATTTTCTCATATTCAGAATGTCGTTCCGAGTATGCATTACATGGATACAGTTCTCATTCTTATGGGATTTCAAACATTCCCTTATTTCATATTAGAGACGCTAAAACTTCCCTGTGGGCTTTACTTGTGCCCTTCAGGGCTGGTACACATATATACTACTTTAGCCTTCCCAGGCTCAGATTTTGTGCACTCACGTTACGTTGGCCTTCCCAGGCTGTTCACATCATTTCATTTGCGTATCCTCTTTATTAAGTGGGCGCCTTCCAAGGCCCCCTCATTTATTTTCTCCGTCACAATGTCATACTGCAATACAGAGCCCAACAGTGGCGATTTGCGCCTTACAAGGCCTTCATATTTCTCATGGGTCTTCCCCTATGACATGCGTTAGTTTCTTCGACGTTTCTGCCTACTCATCCTTGTGCCTTACAAGGCACTAATCCAATTGGGTCGAAAAAACCTAGGTTTTCAGTGGAAACCCGGTTTTTTGTGGCGCATTTGCACCCCCACCTTTAATAATTACATGTTTCATTTTTGTTAATGTTAATTGTGCCATTATAATATATTAGCCTTATTGCATAATTATTTTTTAAATTCCATTTCGAAACATCACGGTGACTCCCTTCGCCACATAAGTTTTCCTGTAATTATTAAACAGAGCAAAAAATGTCCCTATTTCTGTAGTATTATAAAAGAGTGAAGTCCATTGGTACAAGCTGTTCTATTTCTGGACTTTATACAAGCGGGTCCATCAAACGATATCACGAAGATTATTTGTAACATTGTCAAATGAAACAAATGTTGGTAATAAAATAATTGTAAAGCAATTCTTTGTACCTGTGTAGGTCTGGCTAGAGGTGTGTTTGATGGTGAAATGGTATTGATCTTGAACACTGTCCGTTGTCAAACGGAAGCCATCTTCCTGAGTCATCTGCATCCGAGCATTGACTTTTTCTGCTGCATCTAAAAAATGAAATACATGAAGCAGAAGGTTCCTTGCATTATAGAATCATGTTGGATAACAAAAATGGATATAAGAAAGGGGATTTTTGTGGAAGGTATGCGTGCGTTACAGGTATTTCTCAGTCACACATTCAAAACTTTCTGTGTCGGTTCATGCAAGACACTAACCGCATGGAAAAAAATATGATTATTTCATGAGAATAATGTACTATTATGTCTTCGCAACAACCCACCATACATACTTAAAACATAAATTCAGATTAAAAAAAAACGCACCAAGTAGGCCTAACACCTAGACAACAAATTTGAATATTTTAATATTAAAACACGTTGCATTCTAAATTGTTTCGCGAACTTCTACAAAAATAGTGAGTTTTATGCAAAGCAAATCGTTCAAATGCTAACACACAATATTCTATTCTTAACTATGTTCTCATTACCTTATCGTAGTAGCAAGATCGGTCTACCTCAGCGGTAATTCTGGCTAAGGCGCTGTCAGTGCATGTTATCAGCCTAATTGTCTGGCACGCTCCTTGCAAAGCATATAAGCCGTTTAAACTGAATGCAATTTAGCGACAATTGTAAATACGATTTTAAAACGCAGCAAGTAGCTATTGGATAATACATTTTGATGAACAAGTTGAATGCTTAATTGTCTCTGGAACTTCTACAAAAACAGCGGGTTTTAGCCATCAGGTATGCAAAGCAAATTGTTAAAATGCGAACACACAATATTTTCCTCTTACATATTCGTGTTTATGCTACTTTTTCTAGCACATTCAGTGCCAGCTCCATAGCACTCACCATGTATTTGGTCATAACATACACGTGCTCTCCTGTGCTATCTAACTGTATATCTTTAACCTCATCGTTTGACACTTGTACTGATGCATATTCTACCGCAGATGTATTAGACTGGATTAATATCTGAAGACAACGGTTAGAAAGTTCACGAAAGGTTTGTTGGGGCATATGTTAAACGGATGTTTTAAAAAACAAGTTTGAACAAAATGTGCGAAAAAATGCTTTAGCTAGAATACATTGAAAATCATTTCCCTATTAAATATACGGTTTTTGATGCCCAAATAAAAACGAGTACTTCGTCAACTTAATACAAAGCTCTTATTTATAATCAAGTTCGCTTTCAGATTAAAAAAATTAGTAGGTAGGTTTTATCGTACGTTATTAAATCCTGGAAGATAATTTCCATAATTAAACAAACGAAAAATTCGGCCGTGTACTGTTCGCGTATCAATACAAGAAAAGCTACAGCTCAGTTGTGCGGTACCTTCTTTAGTTGCCCGTCAGCAGTTCCTACAAAAGCCACAGTGTAGCTGGTGGTGGTTGTGGTGGCTACTACTGTCCATGTGGACGACGTGGCTGTCAGAGCAGGGGTTGTTGTTGCCGGGGTGGTTGACACCAGGGGAGTGTTTACACCGTAAAAGTCATGGTTACAGTAGTTTGATCCGTAGTTATATGACTGGGAATGTAAAAAGTGGTACCCAGTAAATGTAAAATGCATGAAGAATGGCATAAATATTCTTGTTTATCGAGATCCCCCTAAAACAGAATCCACGCACAAATGAAAGGCTTTATTTAAAAATAAAAGCACAGCTGTGGTTGAAATAAATAAAAAGTAAACTTACGCTAAAATAAACACATCTTCGTGAACCTCCCTGGAAATGTGCAGCCTCAGTATTTCCATTCCCAGAGTAGCACTGTTCGTATTTCTCTTTAATAATGTTGTTTATATTCTCCATTGAAAATACACAGAAAGCTGAACTCGATTCTTCGACAAAAGTACCCACTAGTACACTATCATTTCCTAGTTTTGTTACCGATACTGATTTTGCAAGATTGAACGACACGCTCGGATTGGCCCCTGCGCAACGCAAGGGCATTTCAAAGTATGAATAATAGTTTGCATCACTCTGGCAGATTCGAACTAATCTGGATTCATATTCCGTGCTGCTTATTGTTGTTTTCTGGTTCGTGATGAAATAACTGTAACCATTCAGTGAGAACCCGGAAACGTAATTAACTGGATACGTACTCCGGGTAGTGTCAGAAAGAGTTATGTACGTTCCTGTATCGGACAGTGCGTTGTAGTAAGTTAATTCCAGTGTCTGAAGAGATCTGCTACTAACAGCTGCCACCTGTTCCCGGAGTCTACCACTCTGCCCCTGTCCTGTGTATGAAGAAGCCACATATAACACGTCATCTGATTCGAGGCCCGGTGCTATAAAAGCCACAGTGGAAGCATCGGGAGAATTGGCGGCAACGTAATCTTCCAATGGGTCAGAACCACGATGTGGAGCTACCTGCGATATATCAGTGACTGGTCTAGACTCACAAGTACCTTGATATACACTACCACAAGATATCAGTCTACCCCCAGACTGGTCTACTTCTAGGATTTTGTTGTAGTTGTCTGTGGGCGTTCCCTGTGGGCAGTAAGGAGGTGGACTACAGTAGGGACTATCCATGACTGGTCCGGTCGTTACGTTCTGTAACAGTTGCAAGTCACCATCCAGTCGGTACAGAGTATTAACAGCTCCAACATATACAGTACCAGTTTCGTTGTCAATCGCCATGTTGTTAAACTCTACCGTTGTCTGCCCACTTGGATAAGAACTGACAATTGTGGAGGTGGATGCTCTACCGGCCATATTGAATACTAGATCGGAGAGGAATAGCAACGCCACAAACTAACCTCCCGTTCGCTGCATTCTTTATAATAAGCACTGGAACTGGAAACGTTTTTTTAGAGTACAGGGATATATATGAAATGACTTACATATACTATGACACACGTACACAGAGGGTGATGTAATGCCTCCTCCAAAAAAATGTACACATAGTTTATACAGGACAATAGTCTTTATGTAGTTGGGTATAACGTCTTTGTTAAACCCTCTACTTACGGGTTCGAGGACTTTTTACTGTCCTCAAAAGCAGCAGAAGCCGGACGCAAGCTATGAGGACTGTTCATGATATGGGGGAAATGGAGTGGCATTTTTAAGTAACCAAACACTTCAAAGATAACTAACAAGTATTTTTTTGTTTTGTTTTGTTTGTTTGATCATGACACAAGACATTCTAGAAACATATATATATCTTGAAACTTACCTGAGGGACTTGAAGGCTACCAGTACGTTTATATATGGATCTGCAAGCAATATGCCTCCGTCTGCTATCACTNAAGTAAGCAAACACTTCAAAGATAACTAACAAGTATTTTGTTTTGTTTTGTTTTGTTTGTTTGATCATGACACAAGAGATTCTACAAACATATATATCTTGAAACTTACCTGAGGGACTTGAAGGCTACCAGTACGTTTATATATGGATCTGCAAGCAATACGTCTCCGTCTGCTATCACTCAAAGATCTCTTCCTGGTTGCTGGACTTGACTGCGTTGTAACTTGCAGTTGCTATTTTTACAGTGTCTACTATACAACGTGCGGTACCAAGTAGGCCATATGTGTATAAAGAGAGTGTGATCTGTGTGGGTACTTAAGACGCGATAAGATACAAATGTTCGGCATGCCATAAACACTGATACGACTGTGATTATTTGGTATCATTGATAAGATTTTGGCTAGATATGTCTATTTTACCAACTTTTTCATTGAACTATTTTTCATGGTTTTTAATGCTGACATCTTTAAAAGATGTAACCACAATGGTTTATTGACCTTAAGCTTACTTCCGCCCCGTTCCGATGAAATCAGGTCTACCACTATGAGAAACTTTGTTCCTACTGTTGTGATTTTTAATTTTTTTGAAAATAGGCATTATCACTTTTACGTTCTCGTAACGTGGTAGTATTATCTCATACACTGGTACATACACTGATATGACAATGTTCATTTTGCATTGTTTAACAGAAAAAATGCTAATGCCCCCCCCCCAACTTACACACTTAAAACCCCAAAAAACAGCCTAGATCTCATAACTTTTGCAGCGGGGAAATGATCAGCAAGACCAGGCATGGGCAATATTTTGTTTATTGTCTTTTTCTGCTTAACAATGTTTAATCCATCCACTTATTTTGACATATGAAATATGCATGAACGCTCAAGCCTGCTTCAAAAACACAGTGAATGCAATGGTCGGTTACGGTGGACCCCAAGGCAGTAAGATGATCATGGAAGGCGGCATGTCAAGTTATGAGCGCCAGTCTGAGGTAAATATGTCAGTATGGGTCGTACTAGCTGATTTGATCTCTGAGCCGAATTCCTAATTTATCTATTGTGTCACTTTTACTGTGCATATTATCAAAGTTGCTCCAAAGAGAAAATGATATCCTATTTTTATAATTGGCTTAATGATTTTTAATCTTATCTTCACCATTATAACTGAATACAGGGCTAGTCCCCCACCTGATATGCATAAAAGCGTTTAGAAAAGCTCTTTCCTTCAATATGTGATGTGGCCAAACAATTTTCACGGTGCATTAAGATAAACAGTAAAAGAATATCCACAATAAATTCGGCAACCGAGAGGTGCGGCAACATATAGATAATTGCGGTAGTATTTATGCCGANTAAGGGACTAGGCGGGGTTTCTAATAAACCTAGGAAAGAAGATTTATTTTGGGTCTACGTTACACTGACCCTCTGTTTCGTTATACTGGGACATAGCAGCGTACTGAAGAAGATTGAACATTTCGGTGCCATCGTTCTCTACAGAATAGTGTCGTGAATTAGCTGGTGACATATCTGTGAATGTCGTGCCGAGTAAAAAAGCATCTCTGACCCTGATAGAAGGTAAGAAAAGTTGACATTTGGGAGGAACGAGGTGAAGTTATACCGTCGTTTTTTGCAGATCATGATTAGACGGTAGAGCTAAAACTCGTAAGTTAGGCGTAGCAGTTGCGCAGGCGTTAATCCAGCGCAAAACGCCACGCCCGAAAAAAAGCCAGTTGCACCAAACTAGAAAAGTGTTTACGTCGGTCTTAACTAAGTCGTAAATTTACGCCTGCCAGCTAGGTGGTGTAAGTCGGTCGTAGCTCGTTTTCCACTATTGCTAGGAAGACACAGAGAGAGTTTGATGACAATTCTACCTCACACCTAAGGAACTCAGGAGTAACATGAGATGGGGGAGGCCCAGCTGCTGTATCGTCAGTGGTGATCCTAGCTGTGCTATCAGTAGGACGCATTTTCTTTCCTCTGTTTTCTTTTTTTTTAATTTTTTTACACTTGTGTAAGGACACCTCTGGTCTCTGAGTCAATTATTTTCTTAAATTTATCTAGTTTTCAATTTTGGATTATTATTCTCTTGCATTTTTAGTATCCTGTCTATTGTGCCTTTTGGGGATTCTTTACTTTATTTGTTTATGTGTGCTGTAACGACGTGTAAAGTCGAGAAATCGGGGAGAAAAAACACTACAGGAGAACAATTCTTCAGTGTCTGGGATGAATGTATGCATGAACAATATACATATAGATGCAAACTTTAGTAAAATGGCCAGTGCGGTGGCCAGTATGAGTGAGGCATGGATGGTGATGAGCAAGGCGTGCACTCTGTGGACCCTAAGACTGCCCACTCTCAAAATAAGCAGGAGCGTATTTAGCCTGTCTTCTGGGTCTTCTGGAAGACGGCCAGTTTTTCAAGTTTACATTGACGGGTATTTATTCTTTTCTGTCGGAAGACGGTCAAAATGGATAATGGATCAACAAAAATAATACGGAAGACTGTCAGAAAGTATCTCTGGATCCGCCCCTGGTAAGTCATTAGAAGGGTGCGGTTAAGGCCCCTCAGACTGCCCCCACACACACACACACACACACACAGTCATGCCGCATTGTCGTCAGATTCAGGTGAGGAGGATGACTGTGATGCAGAGGACTTGTTTGAAGAAAAAGCTAGAGTCTAATGAAGAAGTAGACTCTTTTTTAGATCTCATTGATGAAGACCTGGATGACGATGAGGCTCTGGGCAGGGAAAAATTAGCTAGCATGATTAACAAAAGTTCACAAAACCTCTGTCAAAAGATTTAACAAAGAAATTTTTATGAGCATCACCATTTTTTTTCATATTTTATATTATTCATATTTTACTATATAAATATAGAGACAAAAGTTTAGAATACCAGCATTTTAAGGCACATATTATATGCATTAGGGCTCTTGTATTTCTTAAATGCTCATTGCAGCTGCGGACTCCTCATTAGCCCTACTATACCATCCACGTATTACTGGGCAGTGAAGCAACGAAGCGTTACTTAGGCATAGTTAAAACGACCGTTTTTTGGTCCCGGTGCAACGGTTATAAGCAGGGAGAGTTAACGGACGCCAGTTGTTGCTGTTTACGACAGTCGTAAATTTACGCCCCATTGGTGCAACCGGGCCCTGGCCCCGTATGCACAAAAAGTCCTTATCTTAAGTGAAAAATTCTCCTTAACTTCCTAAGAAAATTCTTAGCTGAGGAAACCCCTCAAGTGGTATTAGTCCAGGAAATTGGTGAAAGATTGTGCATTTTTTACCTACAAGCATGAAATTTGGCACACTTATGGACAATAAAATTCTAAGCAAATTTGGATATATGGGCATGTCTGAAATTTTCAAAATGGCCGTCAAATCCAAAATGGCCACCAAAATACCTTTTCAAATTAAAACTTCAAGTACATAGTCTTCTAATGACTTAAAATATCATATAAAGGTTAGAAAACACCATGGTATGAATCCTTCAGGTGTATTAAATCCAAAATGGCCGCCAAAGGAAAAAAAATAGACCATTTATTCAAGATATTTATTTGAATGGGGAATTCATCAAGCACTTAAAACTACAAGCATAAAATTTGGCAGGTTTGTGGAAAATGAAATTCTGAGCAAGTTTGGATGTATGGGCATATCCGAAAATTTAAAAATGGCCTTCAAATCCAAGATGGCCTCCAAAAATACGGCTTCTAATTAAAACTTCAAGTATATAGTCTTTTAAGGGCGTAAATATCATACAAAGGTTAAAAAACACCACGGTATGAATTCAGAATCAATATTTGCTTTTTTAGGTGTAATAAATCCAAAATGGCCGCCAATAGTAAAAAGCACTCTACTAATCCAAGATATCCAGCAGAGTGGTTAATTCATCAAAAACTACAAGCATGGCATTTGGTACAGTTGTAAAACAGGATTCCAAGCTCTTTTGGATGTATGAGCATGTCTAAAAATTTCAATATATGGCCCCCAAATCCAATATAGCCGACACAAATACCCGTTCAAATTAAAACTTCAAGTATATATAATCCTATAATAACTGAAGATAACATTTTATGGTTAGACAAGACTATGGTATGCATGAAGTATCAATATTTGATTCTTTAAGTGTATAGAAATCCAAAATGGCCCCCAAAAATAAGAAAAACAGGCCACTCACAGCAGCAGTATGGTGAATTCATCATGCACTTAAAACTACAAGCATGAAAATTGGCTCAATTGTACAGAACAGGATTCTAAGCAATTTGTTATATAGGGACATGTCTGAATATTCTAATATGGCCACTAAAACCCTTTTAAAGTAAAAAAGACTAATATATGATCTGACTGACAACAGTCTTTACTCTTTTTTGGTTTTTCGCTCCTTTAGTTACATTTAGACCCAAATGACCATAAAAAATGGAACAGGACTCCTTTTGGTCTAGTTGTGACACCACATGCAGCAATTCTATAAATGTCAAGGATATGAAAATGTCAAGGTATTTTCACAAATAAGTTTCAAATTAACGAAAGTTATTTTATCAAGTAAGTGTTGCATATTTTATGTAAATTTTATGCACATTTACTTTAGTAAATGGACAATATCTCAACAAAAAATAACAGCTAGCTACACCGACATTTCTACTTATTTGGTTAAATAATTTTCATTCAATAATGTGTGCCTAGCTTTACTAGTAGTTGTGTTTCCCTCAGCTTTCCCAGTATTTCCTTAAAGCTAAAGCTTCTACATGTAATCCACTTTCACCAACAAAATACCAAGNATAATCTGACTGACAACAGTCTTTACTCTTTTTTGGTTTTTCACTCCTTTAGTTACATTTAGACCCAAATGACCATAAAAAATGGAACAGGACTCCTTTTGGTCTAGTTGTGACACCACATGCAGCAATTCTATAAATGTCAAGGATATGAAAATGTCAAGGTATTTTCACAAATAAGTTTCAAATTAACAAAAGTTATTTTATCAAGTAAGTGTTGCACATTTTATGGGCGGTCAACCTTTTACTTTAGTAAATAGACAATATCTCAACAGAGGAGAACAGCTAGCTACACCGAAATTTCTACTTATTTGGTTAAATAATTTTCATTCATTAATGTGTGCCTAGCTTTACTAGTAGTTGTGTTTCCCTCAGCTTTCCCAGTATTTCCTTAAAGCTATAGCTTCTACATGTAATCCACTTTCCCCAACAAAATACCAAGATGCATTGGTCGTTTTTAACACCAGAAAGCATCAGTTTACATGCATGAGGGTCAATAGGAATACGAAAGTGTGGTAGGGCATAGTATTAGATGTAGGTTACTAGTGTGAACCCTTATAAGACCAGTCTTCCAATGCTTCTGACCACAGTTAGCAACTGCACACATAACTACAAACAGATATGGTAGGAGCTACCTGGTAGATTTTGTTAGCTGGGTAAGTGAATACTCCTCATGGCTTCATTCTGGATTGTCCCACAAAGACAATAATGCCGGAAATCTCATGAATTTTTACCTTTCAAAGTCCATATTGCACTAATTTCTTGGTGTAATCCTCAGAATACACCATTTTTTGAAGTTTTGTATGTATTAACTGTCTGGAGGATTTTAATTCTTTTATTTTCATGTTCAGTTTTTTGAAAGTATAAGTTTGTAACTAAACAAGTTGCCAAATGATCAAATGAAAACCAAAGTTTGGCGCCTATCAGTGCTTCTTTTTTAGTGCACAAAGTGTGAAGCCTCCAATGCAACTCTAGGATACAGCACGTATCAACACCTGCCCTCTGTTTGGGGTACAGGTATTTCTTTGCTCATAAATTTTCACTAAATTCTCGGTAGCCATTACTGCGAATGCACTAAAGCCAATTTTTTAAAATAAGAAGCTTTTCTAATTTACTTTTGAAGCACAAGATAACATCATAACATTATCGAGTGCAAATGTGCCTTGCTTTTAGTACTTTACCAATGAAAAACACCAAATTGTGAGACCTGTATGTTTGATTAGCTGTCATTTTTGTTATATTTATGAGCATTTGATGAAGCGCCATGCACTGATCTAGCTGAAGAATCATAACCAACAGACAAAATTGGTACACCCCAAGTTTTTTATATTTGCCTCTTTAAGGCTTAGTTATTCTGGTGTTTCTTTCACATTTTATGGATTTTGCACGATACTTTTTTTCTTAGAAAGGGGGAGTCACTCATGAGTGCCATATAAGAAGATTGCTAACTGGGAATTGATCTAAATGAGAATCCAGAGCAAAAAGTCAAAGTACTTATGTTGGTTTATCAAAAGAAGGACTGTTTTCAGTACATAATAAATGTATCATGCTTGATGGTTT